GGCGCTGCTGCTGCTGTCGCCTGCGCGGCCACAGGCCGGGTACCCGGGTACCCGGAGCGCGCTCGGGGGCGCTGCAGCGGCTGCTGTCCTGGGACGGTTCGCTGTCTTACAAGCGCAGCCAGGGCGCAGCGTGAGCCCCCAGCTTCCCGGGCCCGCGGCTGGCCGCGCCGAGGAGGCGTCTAGGCTTGAGGTCCTGCCCTGGCCCACGCCAGCCGGGCACGGACCCCAACATCCACATCCATAAGACACTGGTTCTTTCTCTGTCGTTCGCATGCACAAGACCACATCGACTTCAGGACACAATCGGTGGTTGTATAGGGTGTTCGCTGAGCGAACCCCCGGCAGCGGAAACGCGGCTCCGGTCTGGGGCGGACGCGGGGCGGCGCCGTCACGCCCGAGACAGAGGACGTCGCTGCAGCCAGGTCGAGCAGATCCACTTTGGGCCACGTAGGACGGGGTCCCCGCGGACGGGACAGAAAGCCCCGAATAAGTGGAGTTTATTTTTTTTTAAAGATTTTATTTATTTATTTGACAGAGAGAGACACAGCGAGAGCAGGAACACAAGCAGGGGGAGTGGGAGAGGGAGAAGCAGGTCTCCTGCCGAGCAGGGAGCCCGATGTGGGGCTCGATCCCAGGACCCTGGGACCATGACCTGAGCCGAAGGCAGACGCTCAATGACTGAGCCACCCAGGCGCCCTTTTTTTTTTTTTTTAAAGATTCCGAATAAGTGGAGTTTAAAAGGGACATTTCTCTCTCTCACAAAAGAACTTCTGAGGTAGCCCGTCTGGGGCCGGCCTGGCAGTCTGCTCTACAAAATCCGCAAGGCCGCTTCCCGCTGGCAGCTCCGCCAGCCCGGAGGTGACCCTCACCCTCCTCCTCCCACCGGAGCTCCGGCCGTCACACCCACGTTCCAAGCCGCAGAGTGAGGAAGGGCGGGCCGACTGTCCAATGGCTGACACAGGACACTTTTGCTTACATCCCATTGGTCAGAGGTTAGTCACATGGCCATACACCCAACTGCAAGGAAGGCTGGGAAATGTAGTCTTTACTCTGAGTCCTCGTGTACCCAGATAAAAATTCTCTAATTAGGAACAGAAGGTGGAATGGTGGGGAGGGGGGACAGCCAGCAATTTCTGCCGCTCACATGTAACAAACTGAACCGATACTGTTCAAAATGCCTCAATGCCACAAATATTACGTCATTGTATACTTCCATTAATACTGAATTTCAGTATTCTCCTGGGGGGCAAATAAGCCTTCAGCTACGTGCCAAATCTAAATGATACTCTCCCTGGGGCTCAGCGGACAGATAGAGTGAGGGTAGTGACGTCTGCAAGGGACACAAGGGACACAGTGGAGAAGAGTAGCAGTGCACGTGCTGAATACTTGCCCCGCCTATCCAACACCCTCCTGACACCAGGAGATAAAGCTTCGTCCTCACCAATGGAGTAGGCAGAAATAGGTCTCATATCCATCTGTGTTTCTCTGACCATCAGTAAAGTCAAAATCTTTATTTAACAAATCTACTGGTTGGGGCGCCTGGGTGGCTCCGTCAGTTAAGCCTCTGCCTTCGGCTCAGGTCATGGTCTCAGGGTCCTGGGATGGAACCCAGGCAGGCTCCTTGTTCAGCTTGTTCAGTCCTGCTTCTCCCTCTCCCTTGCCCCTGCTCATGTGCTCTGTCTCTCACTCGCTCTGTCTCCCAAATAAATAAATAAAATATTTTAAAAATAATAAAAATTAAAAATCTACTGGTCATTAGTGAGTTTTCTTTTGTTAATTGCCCATTAAAAACCTGTGAATAGGGGCGCCTGGGTGGCTCAAGTAGTTAAGCAATCTGTCTTCAGCTCGGGTCATGATCTCAAGGTCCTGGGATGGAGCCCCACATGGGGCTCCCTGCTTGGCAGGGAGCCTGCTTCTCCCTCTCCTCCCTGCTCATGCTCTCTCTCACTCTCTCTCTCTCTCTCTCTCTCTCAAATAAATAAATAAATAAATAAGTAAAAAGAAAAAAAAGAAACATTGAAAAAAACTGAACATTTTTTTGAACATTTTTAAATTATGGTGCTACTATAGATTTGACATTCTTCAAAATAATAAATTGGGAGTCATATGTATCATGTAAATAAATTTCAAACATGTAAATATAAAATCATAAACCTGTAAATAAATTTCTATGATATAGAACATTTAAAAGCTTTTATATACTTGTTTACTCAACTATGTCAACCCTGTTTATGGTGATTTTTAAAAAGTTTTTTGTTTGTTTGTTTTTGCTTTTAAGAAAGAGAGAGTATGCCCCTGCACCCATGGTGGGGAGGGGCAGAGAGAGAGGGAGGGAGAATCCCAAGCAAACTACCCAGTCAGTGCAGAGCCCCACGTGGGGCTCCGGATCCTGAGATCAGGAGCTGAGCCAAAATCAAGTCAGATCCTCAGCCTGCTGAGCCAACAAGGCGCCCCAGGGATTTTTTTTTTTTTAATGTGCAAATATTTTTTATTTGTATGTAACCAAATCTACCAACTTTTCCAGCATAGTTTCTGGGCATTTCAATATCCATTGTGATCCCGTCAATTGACTGCTGAAGGCCTGGTGTCAGCTAAGTATATGGAAAGGTCTCAAGAGAACTGAATTTGGAACCCCAGTTGGCCATGTTTTAACTGAACGACTCTGGGCAAGTGTTCCTAATGGTGGTGGTGTCCTCTGTTTCATCAGCTACCAAATGTAGATGACACTGCCCCTCTCAGTGTTGTGAGCAAGTGATTCTCTACGCAGGGGTGCTCAGTAGGTGTGAGTTCCCTTATTCCCTCCTGGTGCCCCCCGCAATTCGATCAGCATCCCCTCAGCCAGCACCACCAGCACTCAGTAAGATGAATCAGGCCCTTGGGGACAACAACCTTGCCCCAGCTAGGACAGGAAATTGTGGGTGTTTTTCGAGTCGGGTTTATATTTCAATTTCAGAGACCCCCCCCCCCCACGCTGAGTTTGTTCTTCTTCCTCTTAGAATTCCCGGCAACCTCTTCCCTTCTCTGGAGTCAGTTGATGACCCAGGGCTGGATTCTCAGCTATGCTGCCATGCGTGCACCTGCCAGGAGGTATGCACCTGCCAGGAGGCGTGCACCTCATCCCTTCAGGTCTGGGGTATCGGCACCTCGGGACCCTCTACAGGGCTGCTGGGCAAACCACATTCACAGAAAGACTGTGCGGCCTAAATCTACACACAGATTTGGGGGCAGAGGTGAGAACATATGAAAACTCCTTTCCCTGCTTAAAAACAGAGAAACAAAATATCCAAAGCTGCAATGATGTAACTACTAGCATATAGGCTGCTATTGCAGATCAACAGTCCGCCACATCCATTTCTTCTTAGATTTCAAAATATATCATATCTTCACTTGATTTGACTTCCATCAGCCCATTTTCTGTTTATCATAAAAGCCATCCCAAAACCTCAAAATAAATTTAAGGAATTTTGCAGAAATGGAAACAAAGTCAATACAAACTTCAAAAATGGTAGATTTCTCATAAAAAGAGCATCTTCCAAAATGAAAACTGCGCGGTGCCCCGCAGTGCGGGCAGGGGAGTACAGCCCCTGCCCGCTGCCGCATCTGGCTGTCTTCCCCCTGGCCGCCTGGCCTCTGCAGCACCTGCTAGCTCGGGCCCTTAGTCACACCCACCTGGGGCAACCACGAATCACATGGCTGGTCAGGGATCAGCCCCCCAGCAGCCTCCTTGCTGTTGTCTTCCCAAGCATCCATTCTTTCTACCCTTAGCTCAGTTCCATCCAAAGCTGGGTGATTCCATAGGTGGACCCCCAAAGTGTGGGCCATCGGTTCTGTCCTAACCCTGCTTCAAGCATCTCTCAGACACCCTTCTCTGTCTTGTGATGGACACCGGTCTTTATGCTTCTTTCCCCCAAACAGACCGCAGTCTCCTTGGGACAAGGATGGTGACATGTTATCCCCGGTGTATTCCTCTGCTCTGGCTGCTGGTCGGCTTAAACGACAGACATTTATTTCTCCGCAGTCCTGGAGGTCGGAGACCAAGGCAGGCCAGGCTCTGGCGGGTGGGGCTGGAGGCTGCGGTGCACGGGAGACCCCGTGGCGGGCTGCCCCATCTCTTGCATGCAGCATTCCTCACGGGGCTAGGCGTCGACATGCTGTGACAGGTTCCTGTGTCCCCTCAGGTCTGGGACCTTGTCGTGAAGGACGTGTGTCTGTGGGGAGGACTTTGAAGGGCTTCGAGGGACGAGAAAGGAGGGGGAGAGACCGGCGCTGCTGTGGGGCCTGGGGCAGTCAAGTCCCTGCCCTGCTTCCCAGTGGGTGGAAGTGTGGGTTGTCTGGCCCCTCGCCGCCCTGGCCTCCCAGAGTGGACGCCCCTTTCCTCCCTGGACCCATGGTGTCTCTGGGGCCCTCCTAAGCTAGGACGCCTCTCCAGCTTTCTGCTAAGACTTGGGGTCCTTAGCATCTGGCCATTCCTTGCAGCCCTATTCAGTTCTGAGAACCCGCTCTCAGGGATGGTTTTCCTTGAGCCAGGCCAGCCAGCACCCAAAATTCTCTGGCCCCACTCCCCACACGTATGCAGTCAGGAACTCTGGGTGGGGCCCAGCCCTGCACCTGAGTCTGAGCCCCTCAGGCTTGGGGTCCCTGCTCTCGGCAGCACCCTGGGCTAATCTCCCGAGCCTCCTTGGCCTCTCCCCACCAGGCCCAGAGCCTCACTGAGCGCAGTAAGAATCCCCTTCCTTTGCCCAAAAGCTGGGCAGGGTGTGCTCAGCAAACCCTGCCCTAGGCCACACCTCTCTAGCTTCTTTGCAGAGTGATGAGCACTGAGACCCCCAGAGCTCGGAGGACGTGGAAGCCCCCCGCCCCCCGACTGTGCCATTGCCATGGCACGGGGTCCTCAGCAAAGCTCCTCCAGCAGCCCTGCCCCCACCTCCCGGGACCCCAGTGTCTCTACAGTGAAATCTCACACACACCACCGAACTTAAGAGAAGGGTCCTCCCCGCACACTTTGCCCTCAGAATTTGGGTATCAATCTGCAACTTAATTACTCGATCTGCTAAGAAGCCTTTGTACAGTTGTTGGTTTGGGGTTTTGCTGGGTTTTGTGTTCTTTTGTTCTATCACCTCCCCCGAACAGAAATGCAAGTAGCTCTTCCTTCATCCTTCCCTTAGTCTAACACTTAGGGCTTGGTTTTTCTTTAACAGCTCAACATCCTCTTGCGAAACAGTGGACTTCCCTGTGCAGATAGAACAGGGAACTCTTAATGAATTGCTTTCGGTTTTTCAGTTATTGATGGATGGAGGGGATCTTGAATGTTTTTGAAACATCATGTGCGCAACTCCTCTCTCCACTGCGCCACCCGGTCCATCGTGACCTCTTCAGCATGGACGTAGAATGTGAGGGCGTCTGACCCAGGAGAGAGGCCATGGGTGGGGTGTTTCATTCTCTGTAAAAGAATGACTTTTCCTGGTCTTTTATGGACATGCCCACTTTGAAAGATTCCACTTCTCATCTTGTACATTTCTTCTTATTACTCGCTGATTCTTAGCTAGGATCTTCAGCGATGATGAGCAGGTGTATGAGCAGGAGCCTTCCTCCCTCAGGCGGCTGACGCTCCTTCGTTCTCCACGACGCCCATGGGCACTAGCTGTGACACTTCCTCCAGGGAACCTGCCCCCCACGCACCCTGAAACCGTTCTCCCCCGTGTCACCTGGGATCAACCTAACAGACACTTCAGCCTTTCGACCCACTTGTGGGCTTTGACTCTGTTTCCCACTTCCTCCTTGAAAGTCTGTGGCTTCCCAGACCACCCTTCACTTTGCCCCCCACCCCCCAGGGCTCTACCCTCATCGTGTGGGTTTGCTTTTTAAATAAACTCACCACATATTCTTTAAGTCTCTATCTGTGCACTGAAACTCCATATGTACAATATTAGCTAGATTTCCTTGGAATGGAATTTTGGCCCCTTTGGAATCAAACCTCAATCCTGCCAAGAATAGACTTGTCAAAACAGGCCTTCTTAAAGACTCTAGAATTTCTGAAGATCTGAAAAAATAAATAAGCCACAATGAACATAATGCCGTTAAAGAAGATTATGACACTTGTCTCAGGACGTTAGTGCTGTGACTTGTGCCCTTAAGCAATCACTTGTTCTAATCGCAGGATTTCACAGTTCTGGTAAATTTCTCGAATTGCATCACAGGGAGGTTTGGACCTCACAGGGAAGAGACAATCAGAACATCCACACGTGGGCAGAGACGGGGCAGCAGACAGCTGTCTTCAGGGTACAGCCTGGGGTGTGTTGCCAACCCCAGAATGCCCCCCCTGAAATTTGTCTCGTCGGGGGGGGCAACACTTTCCCTCCACCAATGCAGACTCAGTGCTAGGGGCCTGAAAATTTAACAACAGACAGATTAACAGGAGAAGAGAGAGCAAGTCTGTCCACACTATATGTGAGCATGCTCAGATGAAGCGGACCCTGAACAGAGAGATATAGGGGTTCATGTGCCAACTTAATTGGGGGGGGCAGAAAGCGCTGCTAGGGGGAGACAAATGAGCCTTTAGGGGGAATGGGAGGTGTGGCCCCTGTGGTAATGTTTGTTTATGCGACTTCTCATCCTGGTGTGAGTGGCCCGGCTCCTTCCCATCTGGGGGTGAAGCTCTGCTTTCAGCAAAGGAAGGGAGCTCTGAAAAGGCTTCTCTCGGCATCCATTGTATGTCAAATGTCTCCAGTTCAATCTTCGTACCAGCTCTGTGCGGCCAGGTGGGTCCCTATGAGACCAATAGAGCTCTTGCTTGGAATTTGAGCAGAAGGATCCTTCCTCAGGGCCTGCACGGAGCGCAGAGCTGAGCTCCTGTGGGCACTGCTCCAGACTCCCTGAGTTGTACTAAACAAGATCCCCATGCCCCCCAGGGAGGCCACAGCTGGGCATTCCTGGCAGGAAACAGGCAGGATTCCTGCACTTCCTTTTGCAATTCTGGCTTCCTCGTTAGGATGAAAGATACTTACTTGCTGGGGCCTGAATGTCTGTGTCCTTCCAAATGCCTGCCATGAGACCCCGACCCCCACATGGAGGGCATTAGGAGCGCATTTGGGAGGAGATGGGTCATACGGTAGAGCCCTCACGAAGGGGATCAGTGCCCTTAGGAAGGAGACCCCAGGAGATCCCTGGCCCCTTCCACCACGAGAGGACCCAGTGAGAGCATCCTCACCTGACCTGGGACTTCCAATTTATGAGAAATAAATTCTGTGGCTTCTAAGCCCCCCCAATGTGTAGGATTCTCTTATAGCTGCCTGAACGCACTAAGATTATTTACTTTTTTTTAGATGACCCAAGGGGAATAAATGCATTTTAATTTCTCAAATGTTCCCTCTAGCTTCTGTCTGCAACATGAACAGAGGGGAGGCGCCTGGGTGGCTCAGATGGTTAAGCGTCTGCCTTCGGCTCAGGTCATGATCCCAGGGTCCTGGGATTGAGTCCCGCATCGGGCTCCCTGCTCCTTGCGAGCCTGCTTCTCCCTCTGCTTCTCTCTCTCTCTCCCTCTGTCTCTCCCTCTGTCTCTCATGAATAAATAAATAAAATCTTAAAAAAAAAAAACATGAACAGAGGGGAATCTTGAAGACAGGGGTGTCCTCCCTGCAGTAACCCGAGAGACTCAGGAGGAGCCCCCAGGATTGGCCAGCTTTAAAGTAAGGCCCCACGCCACTGGAACTCTGGTTTGAGATTTTCATCATTTATGTTCACTAACTTGTCCACACTGTGGCTCTGAAATATTTTCAGATATTAGCTCATCAGATTTCCTGTCCATCCCCAGGCGGCCCTCCTTACCTGCTCTCCTCCCCCTCTCATCTGAGCCAGCAAGGGTGCTCAGATCTGCATTTGAATCGCTGTTTATTCTGTAGAGACCCAGTTATTTTTACTGTAGCACTTGACAAACACTTCCACAAGAGATCCACTTTGGTTGATTACGGAACTAATCCATACGTCAAGCCACCTGAGTAAGTATTAACATGGGTCTCAAATCATTTATTTATTATTATTATTAACCCGAAGTTAATTTTCAGGAAGGACTAACGCCGGGCTGATCCTAAGTTTTCAGACATGGGCAGTGGGTACGGTGGGGCGTGCTCAGCTTGCCATGTCTTCTTTGTGTTTTTCTCCATTTTCATATCTTCTACAATAAATAAACGTTACTTCTGAAAAGAGAAAAAGTAGATCTAAAGTTAAACTTAATTTGAATCTAGAAAACTGGGGTGGAAGTTTATGGAAGGACCAAAGGAAAAGCTTAAAATTCATCGTGTTTACTTTTATTTTCTTTAAAGATTTTATTTATTTATTTGAGACAGAGAGAGAGAGACAGAGCAGGAGGGGGGGAGGGGCAGAGGGAGAAGCAGACTCCCCGCGGAGCAGGGAGCCTGATGCGGGGCTCGATCCCAGAACCCCGGGATCATGACCTGAGCTGAAGGCGGACACTTCACCGACTGAGCCACCCAGGTGCCCCTCGTAGTGTTTACTTTCAATTGAAATCGTATTTCCTCGCACCATGCCAGGATTTACTGGCTTTGGGGGGAGCGAGGGGGAGTGTGGTTATTGAACGGTGCTCAAATGGCCCAGGTTGCAGCTCTAATAGTCTGAGGTGACGGCATTAGTGACATCATTAGTGGGACTTGGTCCAGCCCTAATATGACAGTTGTGAACAACTACCGTTTGATGAAGGTGAAACTATTGAAAATATGGGTTGAACCATATGAAGTTGCCGGCACCTGAGCTTTGATGACCTAAAAACGGTGATTTCATGTAGTTCAACCGACAACGTGGTGAATTTAACGAGACCAATGTCCTAGACCAATGTCCATTGGGTTGGTTTAAACATATTTTCTCTCAGCTACAGAAATTAAAAGTGCGTAGCCTTAGCCTAGTCTCTCACACGCCAACACCCACCGTAAGTTACAAGGGCCAGTGATCACACCCAGGTGATTTTAGGGGCAGTTTCTTAAAAGTACCAACCCTTTTGTCCCCCGACCAACAAAGTCAGAATCTCGGGGGACTGGGGCTTGGACAGCAGGTCCTTGTTTGTTTGTTTGTTACCAACTTTATTGAGGTATAGTCGACAGACAACAAACTGTCCATTTTTAAAGTGCTCAGCTGGGGAAGTTTGAGAAGTGTGTTCACTTGTGGGACCGTCACCACACTGAAGATAATGAACCTATCACCCCAAAAGTCTGCTTGTGCCCCTTTGTCATCTGTCCCTTCGGCTCCTCCCACTCACCTTGCCCCCAGGGAACCCCTGATCTTCCGTCACTGTACATCTGTGTGCAGTTTCCAAAATGTTCTCAACATAGAATGATGCAGTATGTACGCTGCATTTTGTCTGGCTTCTTTCCTTCACTCGGCGTATGTTCTTCGTGTTGTTGTAGCGATCAATAGTTGGCTTCTTTTTTTGCTATGTAGGACTCCACTGTGTGGGCATACCAGAGTTTATCCACTCATTTGTTGGATATTTGGGTTATTTCCACACTTTTGCTATTAACAAATCAGCTGCCATGACTGTTCATGGACAAGCCTTAGTGCAGACAATGTGCTTTCATTTCTCTTGAGTAAATACCTAGAAATCACGTATCTGGGTCATATGGTAGGATTATGTTTAACTTTTGAAGAAACTGTCAAGCTGCATTCCAAAGTGCGTGTTTCCCCGTATGTTCCCATGAGCAGGGCATGAGATTCTAATTTCTTCCTGTCCGTGCCAACCCTGGGTATGGTGGTCTCCTTACTTTTCGTCCTTCTGATGGGTATGTAGTGGTGTCTCACTCTGGGTTGGATTTGCATTTCTCTAAAGGCTCATGATGTTGAGCAGCTGTCCCAGTCTTTGCCCAGGTGGTAGTATTTTAGAAAAGCACACACCCCATCCCCCAGATGATTCTAATGTGCAGCGATGGTTGACAGCCTCCGAGACTCCTGCAATACTGTGCCGGCCAGCCCCTTGTCACCCTCCTGGGGAGGGTAGTACCCTCCCATACCCAGGTTTAGGGAAAGGATGAATCCTCTTCCAGAATCCTGAGGACCCTTCTTGGGCTAACCTCAGCACGAATCCTTTGAGGGCTCTAAATGTGGATTCCACTGAGATTCCTTTTTTTTTTTTTCAAATAAAAATTGATTGATTTGACAGAGAGAGGTGGCAGGGAGGGGCGGAGGGAGAGGGAGAGAGAGAATCTCAAGCACAGGGCACACCCAGTGCGGAGTCCAACAAGGGGCTCGGTCTCAGGACCCCGAGATTGTGCCCTGAGCCAAAACCAAGAGTCGGACGCTCAACCAACTGAGCCACTCAGGTGCCCCTCCACTGACATTCTTTTAGGGAATCCTGCAGTGAGGGTTCCAACATCACACTTTCCCCCTGATGGGTGTTTGGAGGCTGTGTATGCGGGGTCAGCTCTGGCCTTGAGCTCATGATGAGTGCAGTCATTGCCTAGACCTGTCCACGTAAGAGACACTGACCCCTGAGCGTGTAGAAGCGGAAGGAAGGAGAGGGACAGGGGGTCAGCTTCTCACCCCCGCCCCTCCTGAAGCAAGGAACTGGGCGTGGAGTTAAGCTGCCCGTCAGGGGTTAAATTATTCCCTAAAAAAGATATGTTGAAGTCCTAGCCCCCAGTACCTCAGAATCTGGTACCATTCAGGCATGATGCCTTCTCTTCTATGTATTTATTTGTTCCTTTATTTCTGAAACTGGCTTAAATACGCGGTATGGTCTCAAACATCCAACCATTATTTAAACACGACAAAGCAAAAATAGAAAACACTTTATATACCTTTTAAAGATTTTATTTATTTATTTGAGAGAGAGAATGAAAGAGCGAGAACTCAGCAGGGGGAGCAGCAGAGAGAATGGGAGACAGAGAGCACGAGAGGGAAGAGGGGCAGAGGGAGAAGCAGACGCCCCGCGGAGCAGGGAGCCCGACCGGGCTCGATCCCAGGACCCGGAGATCATGACCTGAGCCGAAGGCAGACGCTTAACTGACTGAGGCACCCAGGCGCCCCTAAAGAACACTTTAGATCGCATTATCCAGAAATAAACCAGTGTTAGTGTACTAGAAAGATCTTTCCAGATATCTCCTGACTGCACGCAAACACGTTTACAGGAAGTCTTAGAGATGGTGCCACCATAAGTGGTGTTACGGTGTGAGTGTAAGGTAACGGGCCCTTCACACGCCGGTCACATTGTTGGGGATCTCCACCCTTACAGACATTGTTAGGATGAACCTCCTACTGCATATCTCTTTTTGATTCTGTGGGAATAAGCCCTCGTGGTAAATTCCCAGAAGTGGGATTGCCTAACCCCTGCCCCATTTTCACTGTTTTCTGTAAAATTGCAAAAACAGCACATGCTTGTTGTTCTTTTTTTAAATCAAATATTGCATAAGAATGCAAAGTAAAAATGAAACCCGTTCCATGCTCCTCCTAGGGATGATGACCGTCAACAGTGGAGAGGAGTTTTAATGAAGCAAGTTTGGGTTTAAATCTTTGGTCTCTCTCTTAATAAATATGTGACCATGGGAAGGCTCTTAGTTTGTTTAATGCTTAATTTCCTCATCTGAAAATGAAGTTAGTGTCTGCTGTCCCCTTCTCATGGGGTTTAGGACACTTAAATAACATATATGTGAAATGGAAGATTCACAAAAATGTATGTGCACCCAGGTCACAACGGACGTCGATGACTGTCCAAAATCTGGAATCATTCACACCACACCTTCCAGATAGAAGACCATTGGGTTGAGGCGCCTGGGTGGCTCAGTCATGAAGCGTCTGCCTTCGGCTTAGATCCCAGGGTCCTGGGATCGAGCCCCGCATCAGGCTCCCTGCTCGGCGGGAAGCCTGCTTCTCCCTCTCCCCCTGCTTGTGTTCCCTCTCTCGCTGTCTCTCTCTGTCAAATAAATAAATAAATAAATCTCTAAAAAAAAAAAAGAAGACCATTGGGTTGAAAATAAACGACAAAAGGAGGTTAGAGAACCTAAGCGTTTGTCCGCGTGTACTGAGTTACTCTGGGATTGAGGAGGAAGGTTGGTGGAAGCAGGGAGACCAGCTACACAGAACCGAACGTCAGTGAGTGGTCAGCATGCTCCACTTGTGAGATGCCCCAGAGGCCAGACCCGCAGGGAAACTCACCTTCCAAGGCCTCGATTTAATAGGAAGAAATACTAAAAAAAACTAACTTAAGAGTTTATTTTTAGGGGCGCCCAACTGGCTCCGTTGGTAGAGCATGCAACTCTTGATCTCGGGGTCGTGAGTCCCAACCCCACGCTGGGTGTAGTGTTTACTAAAAAAAAAATAATAATCAATCAATCCCTGCTTTCAGTACAACCAGGATATTGACATTGATATAATCCAACGATCTCAAAAAAAAAGTTTAATTTTAAAAATGGAAAAAGGAACAACAAAGTAAATTTAAATAAAGCACAAGGAAATATAAAAACAAAAGTTGATAAAAAATACAATCAAAGAAACAACAGAAAAGATGAACAAAATCAAAACATAGTTTAAAAAAGATTATTAATAGATCAAACTCTAACATGACTAAAAATGAATTGCAAAGAGGTATAGGAAGAAAGGTGGTAAAGCTGCAGATAATTTTTTTTATTTGTTTATTTGAAAGTGAGAGAGAAAGCATGAGCAGGGGAGGGGCAGAGGGAGAGGGAGAAGCAGGCTTCCCGCGGAGCAGGGAGCCCGATGCAGGGCTCGATCCCAGGATCCTGAGATCATGACCTGAGCCGAAGGCAGACGCTTCATGACTGAGCCACCCAGGCGCTCCTGAACATATGATTTGCTATAAAAATTGCAAAAATTGAGTGAAGAAAAGGTGGAAACTAAATAAACTATTAACCATTGAAGAAATTGAATCCGTTGTCAAAAGCTTCTGCTCATCGGATGATACCAGGCACGGCCTGGGAAGGCAGATGATAACCCTATTTCTTTCCTTTTTTTTTTTTTTAAAATTTTTTTTTTTAAAGATTTTTTTTATTTTTTTGAGAGAGAGAGACAGAGAGAGAGAGAGAGGCAGAGGGAGAAGCAGGCTCCCGCTGAGCAGGGAGCCCGATGCGGAACTCGATCCCAGGACCCTGGGACCATGACCTGAGCCGAAGGCAGACGCTTAACCATCTGAGCCACCCAGGCACCGGATAACCCTATTTCATACAGACTATACCAAAAAGTAGAAAAATAGGGGACATCAGTTTGTGAGGTCAGTATAACGTTGCATAAAATGCAGACTACAGAAGTGCAAGAAATGTACATGACTCACCAATATCACCCATAAATAAACCTTGTAAATAAAAGATTGCAAAGGACATTCAATGTGTATAGAAATAGTGATGCACCGGGCACCTGGGTGGCTCAGATGGTTGGGCATCTGCCTCAGCTCAGGTCATGGTCCCAGGGTCCTGGGATCCAGCCCCACATCGGGCTCCCGGCTCAGCGGGGAGCCTGCTTCTCCCTCTCCCTCTGCCTCTCTCCCTGCTCATGCTCTCTCTCTCTCTCTCTCTCTCTCTCTGTATCTCTGTGTCTCAAATGAATAAATAAAAATCTTAAAAAAAAAAAATAGTGATGCACCATGACAACATAGTTCAGTCCCAGAATCACCACAAGGTTGTAAATCAGAAGATGTATTATTTACTCCCCAGTGTTAACAGATTAAAGGAAAACAAGGAGGATAATTTTAACAGATACAGAAAAATTAATAAAAATCAATAATTATTCGTGATTTAAAAAAAATCTTAACGTGAAATAAGGGGATTTTCCTTATCTTAATAAAAGGGTGTTGATCGGAAACAAACATCATACTTCCTGTTTTAACTTTAAAAGCATTTCCATGAATCGGGGCACCTGGGTGGCTCCGTCGTTAAGTGTCTGCCTTCCACTTGGGTCGTGGTCCCGGGGTCCTGGGATCGAGCCCCGCATCGGGCTCCCTGCTCCGCGGGAAGCCTGCGTCTCCCTCTCCCACTCCCCCTGCTGGTGTTCCCTCTCTTGCTGTGTCTCTCTGTCAAATAAATAAATAATCTTTAAAAAAATTCTTAAAAAAATAAAATAAAAGCATTTCCATGAAGGTGAAAGATAATATAAGGGCACTTTACTCCCCATGATTCATCAGTGAATAGGGCGTCCTGGCCAGCACAGCAGGAAGGAAGGAGAAATAGAAACTGGAAAGGAAAACAAAGCTGTCATTCTCTGCGGATGATAAAATTTCGTATGTACCAAATCTGAGAACGTTTACAGAGAAATAATAGGTTTTTGGGAATAATATTAACACTGCAAAAAAATCAGCAGCATGCTGTCATCAGCAATAAATAGTTATAAAATGGAACAGAGAAATGATGCCAGCATTCATAAACCCGACGTGGGGGAGAGAGGCGTTAGAGTCTGCTAGTGAGGCGAGGATCTCATTGGGTCTGTTGGCGGCTTGCCCTCGCCCCGCCACACTCACACTGGGGGCACGGGGTCACACGGGGTGAGCACTGGCTGGCGGGGTGCTCAGAAAACGCACAGAACACGTTCCCTAAGGATCCCACCGGCTGACTCCTTGAAAGGAACCGCAGAGCACATTCTGGTGAGGCGGACAAAAATGGAGTCATACCCCCATAGGAGGTCACTATGATGCAATTCGTGAAGTTAAGATGAGGTCATCCTGGTGTAGAGCAGGCCCCTAACCAATGTGACTGGTGTCCTTAGAAAAACAGGTCATGATAGGGCGCCTGGGTGGCTCAGTTGTTCAACGTCTGCCTTCAGCTCAGGTCACGGTCCCAGGGTCCTGGGATCCAGCCCGGCATTGTCGTCGGGCCCCCTGCTCGGCGGGAAGCCTGCTTCTCCCTCTCCCTCTGCCTGAGGCTCCCCCCGCCTGTGCTCCCTCTTGCTCTCTCCCGCACTCTCTCTCTCTGTCAAAAAAAAAAAAAAAAAAAAAAAAAAAGAAAAGAAAGGAACGTTTAAGATGAACACGTCATGTGAAGACGCAGACTCGCCAGGGGGACGCGTGTGACACGTGTGCAGCTGTCAGCCAAGGGTCGCCAGGGGTCGCCACAGAAGGTGGAAGAGGCAAGGAAGGATGTCCCCACAGCTTTCAGAGAGAGCAGGGTCTGCAGACGCCTTGATTTCGGCCTCTGGCCTCCAGATGGGAGAACGGTGAGACCCAGGTCTCTGTTGCTCTAAGCCGCCGCTTCGTGGTGGTTGTTACCACAGCCCTGGGGAAACGCACACACACGGGGATGACAATATCTACCCAGAAAAATCACTGTGGCAGAAGATGGCAGGGTCCCCAAATCCAACCCCAGAAGGTTCCATACCGTAGATTTCACTTCAGTAACGTGCTTGAAGAGATGCGATGCTAACAACGGAGGACAGCTCAGTGGCCGCCGGGGTTCGGGAGGTTGGGAGGGAAGCAGGTGGGGTGTCTGTACAGGGCAATGATGGGAATATCCTAAGTTCGACTGTATCAGCGTCACTATCCTGGTCGTGGTGTTGCGCTGTGGTCTCGTAACATGTCACCACTGGGGGAATTGGACAGAGTATATGGGATTTCTCTCTATTATTCCTTCTAATCACATGTGAATCCACAGCCATCTCAAAATAAAAACTTTAAAAAAAAACCGTTGTGAGGAGGGGAGCAAACAGGACATGCACAGCCCTCAGTACAATGCCGAGAGTGTGGCGGGGAGCTCCGGTGTGGTAGCTCAAAGAGCCTGGGGCCAGCCTGGCCACAGCTCACCCCGCCGGGCCGTCCGCTGTTGGCTCGTGCAGCTCTGTGAAGACCTGGGTTCTCTCCATCTCCCGACCCTGCCCTGCTCAATACATAGGCTCTGTGCCAGCGAGATGGCCTCAGGCTCCCAAGGCTTCTCCAGCTCTAGGGATCGTGTACAGGCTGGCCTCCACCTGCTGGCATCTCTCAGAGAGCAAAGACCCCATTCCCAGAAGCCTCCCTCACAGCTGAGAGGCCAGGATTACATCGCTTATGCAATCGTCAAGCGAAATGGAATGAACCATCCTGCCTTGGTCAGATCAGTCTGGGTTAACCTCCAGACCTGGGGCAAGAGCCAACCTTCCCAACTCGAGGGCAGGATCCCCATCTACGCCAATCTGAGAGCAGGAGGTGGTTCTTGGGCGGCATCCCAGCACTGCCTTTCTCCCGCTCTGCCCAGCGCAGAGCAGCCGGCCAGCAGGGCCCTGCCTGTGATGTGTGGGCCGGCAGGTCTGCTCAGGCTCCTATCCCTGCACACCGCAGGTGCCCTGTGCGTAGAAACTATACATACTCGTGGAAATTAGTTAAGTAGCCCTTGCCACATTCATTCTGCCTCCTGAACATCTACTTAAATCTACACCTGTAACTGTATCATGATGGCCCAGGTTAAAAACTCAATCAGACCCAAGCCTATGACCCACCTACAATGTCTCTTAGTTTCTGCAGAAGCAAGCTACAAATCCTTCTTGCTCTATGCGCTTCTACATTGGATTTGTTCCTTTGGCCTTTTGACTTGAAGGCACCTCATGTTGTCATACTCTGTGCTTTTCTCTAAAGTATTTGATGTGGGAAACAAAGGCAAAAGAAAAAATTAAATTTCCTTACTACTTACACCCCATTGACAGGTCCTTGAAACAGGCAGACAGACCTTCCTCTAGGGGCTCAGCTGCCTCGATGTCCACACTTTGCAAAGGGCCAAAGGTAATCTTAGCCGAACTCCCCAGGATCCTGTGAGTCTACTATAAACATATAGAGATTCCTTTGGAAACTTCCTTTATCTCTACCCCTCCCCCTGCCCGAGATATGTCAGCAACCATCCTCCAAGCATATGGCCCACCGCTAACATCTGAAGGCGCTCATGACTGAGGGTTTGCTAGCCAGTACTAAATAGCCTTTTCCTAAAAATAGCTAGCCCCCTCAGGGTCCTGGAAAGGTCCTGGAAACCTTGTTTCCAAAATACCTTGGAGGCTTGTTCTATCCCTAACCTGTCCCAACTTGAAAGCATATCATTAGTCACCCCTCACAGCCCCAGAGCAGCTCCTTCTGCCCACGGGTCCTGTCTGCATGCTTTAATAAAACCGCCTTTCTGCACCAAAGATGTCTCAAGAATTCTTTTTTTTTAAGATTTTATTTATTTATTTGAGAGAGAGAGAATGAGAGATAGCACGAGAGGGAAGAGGGTCAGAGGGAGAAGCAGACTCCCCGCCGAGCAGGGAGCCCGATGTGGGACTCGATCCCGAGACTCCAGGATCATGACCTGAGCCGAAGGCAGTCGCCCAACCAACTGAGCCACCCAGGCGCCCCAAGAATTCTTTTTTTTTTTTAAGATTTTATTTATTTATTTGACAGAGACACAGTGGGAGAGGGAGCACAAGCAGGGGGAGTGGGAGAGGGAGAAGGAGCCCCCCCTCCCCCGCGGAGCAGGGAGCCCGATGCAGGGCTCGATCCCAGGACCCCGGGATCATGACCTGAGCTGGAGGCAGACGCTTAACGACGGAGCCACCCAGGCGCCCCTCATTGGTGATTTAAGCCCACATGAATCGTTGCATCTTATGATTCATGTTCTCTAATTGTTCACTAGCTACCCTGCAGGGAGGACAAGCAATCTCTGGTGCTCCAATTTCTACTGAGTGATGCATGTGGCCCATCAAGTAAGTCAATGGTTTTCCTCCACAGACTTGGCATCACTTTTTTTCTCCCCAAGTGAAGTTGTTGACTAAGTCAAATATTGGTTTGAATTTGATAGTACTATACCTCCTAAGCAGAATCCAGCCCAGCTTCTCCGTCTCTTTTTGTTTTTACTTGCCCCTGAATCAACTGTGAGAAATGATTCTGACCTGGAAAATGGTAAAGTTCACAAACCAAACAGAGGTTCAGAGCCTCTCCTTAAGATTCTTCTTTAGATGGGGCACCTGGGTGGTTCAGTCAGTTAAGCCTCCAACTCTTGGTTTTGGCTTTGGTCATGATCTCAGGGTCGTGAGATCGAGCCCCACGTCGGGCTCCAAGCTTAGTTCAGAGTCTGCTTGTCCCTCTCCCTCCGCTCCTCCCCCCCCCCCCCCCTCCCTTAAATAAAAAAAAAAATAAATAAATAAATAAATAAATAAAGATTCTTCATTAGATTTCCACGTTTCCTGGACTGGACGTAAGCTCACCTGCCATTTTGCCCACATCTGCCTCAGACCCACGCGTATCTCCCGAGTTCTGTCTTCCTGGCTCTCTTTACTGTAACACAGAATGTAAATGGGAATGCTAGACATCAGCTCCTAGCCAGGCCTAGGGACATCACCCCTGCCAGGAAGAAAAGATTTAGCAGAAATAACGGTGTATCAGGAATCCAGAATGGTTTATGTTCCTCTCACTACCAGGACAGAGGCTGTAACTGTCTCCTGGGTTCATGTTCTGCTTGAATAAAGTTTGAAGCAGCACACTTAAATACGGGACTATGTGGTAACAGTAGTTAGTTCTGGGCTAATGTGCAGCCTTTACAGAGCGGATTGTAGTCTGAAGATGCTCGCATGGAGGACATTTCAAAACTGTCATCCTGGAGACAGTAGAGGGCACCCCATCCCAGAATGAAGTGTGGCCTGCAGTTACTGGGGACAGGGTGCTAAACAGGGGCAATGTGAACTCCTCTGGCCTCAAGCTAACCTGGTATTTTCCATCTGTTTATGGTTTCAGTATCCCAGAGCTCTGCCATCCCGTATGGTAGCAGCTAGCCACAGATGCCTGTTTGAGTTGGTTAACATATATTATTATTTTTTTAAATTTATTTATTTGAGAAAGAGAGACAGAGATAGCAAGAAAGGGCACGAGCGGGGGCGGGGGAGTGGCAGAGGGAGAAGCAGACTCCCTGCTCCGCGGGAAGCCTGCTTCTCCCTCTCCCACTCCCCCCGACAACTCGTGCTCTCTCTTGCTATCTCTGTCTCTTTTTCAAATAAATAAATAAAACCTTAAAAAAAAAACACATTTAAAGTTTAGCCCCTCACTTGCACCAGCCACGTTTTGTGTCCGCAATAGTCACACGTGGCTAGTGGTTACCATGTTGGATGGCACAGATATGGAGCATTTCTACCATTATAGAAAGTTCTCGTAGACAGTGCTGCTAAAATCCCAGTTCCCATACATGTGACAGTTGAATATGTAATCAGAATATGCCACCCCATCCCCAGGGGCGCCTGGGTGGTGCAGTGGGTTAAGCGTCTGACTCTTGGTTTCAGCTCAGGTCATGATCTCAGGGTCCTGGGATCAAGCCCTGCGTCGGGTTCTGTGCTCAGCTCCGAGTCTGTTTTCGATTCTTTCTCCCTCTCTCTCTGCCCCTCCTGCTTGTGTTCGCTCACTCTCCCTCTAAAATAAATAAATCTTAAAAAAAAAAAAAGAGGAATATGCCACCCCCAAATACACTACTTTGGCGTCAAGATTATTCTGAGCTGAAGACAATCAGGAAGCAGCAGACACAGGGGAAGCTCTCTGCTGTCTCCCTCACCTACGAGCAGGGAGTGAGTCTGCCTTGGGAAGGGGTGCCCCTCTGTGGAACCAGGAAGGGAAGGACGACCTTTATCACCAGAGACAGAGATGCTGCCAGGACCCCTCTATGTAAACAGCCTCAGTGAACATCCCTCGGCTTCCATTAGTCTCCCCTGTATCTGCCTCTGGACGCCCAAATCCCATTTCCTTGGTCTGGTCACTTCTCCACAACTTACTGCCTTTTGTTATAATGGCATATACACCCCCACCCCCTAACTGGACCACTTCCCTGCCTCTTTATTTCTTTTTCTTTTTTTTTTAAGATTTTATTTATTTATTTCACAGAGAGACACAGCGAGAACAGGAACAGAAGCAGGGGAAGTGGGAGAGGGAGAAGCAGGCTTCCCGCGGAGCAGGGAGCCCGATGCGGGGCTCGACCCCAGGACCTGGGATCATGACCTGAGCCGAAGGCAGATGCTTAACAACTGAGCCACCCAGGCGCCCCTGGGTCTTCATTTCTTTTCTGGGAAGGCCTCCACTCATGGGAAAAAATTAAAATACCAAGAAGTGAAATGTGTCTACCTTTTCTCGTGTTCGTACGTCTTTTGTCAGTCTGATTATAGACCCCGACTCTGAGAGGGCAGAGGAAGATTGTTTCCCCCCCCCTTACACAATCCACCAAGAATAACAGAAACAAACTGGTCTGGCAGAGAGGCTGAGCTCTGAGGCTGATGAGCCTGCGTGGCTTGGGCACAGAGGATAGTCAGCTGGCCTCCAATCGGGTAACTCCACCTGGCCACCCTTCCAGTGGATTTCTCTAATTTTATTCTGGAGAAAAACTTCAACTAAAGAAAGAGGATGGTATTTTTTCAATTAAAAAATAGGGGAGATTTTGGTCTGAATATCATTTGGGACTTGCTCTACATAAATTCTTGATTACTTTCAACCCCCAAGCACATTACTGCTCCTCTTACAGGATTTTAAAACAGTCTTTTAAAAGTAACACGAAATAAAAGATAAAATGTAAGCAAGTGTATTACTAGGTCAAATACATATGTTTCTATTGCTGACAGAAACATTAACGGTTATCTCATCTAATTTCATCTTTTGGTGATAAAATCTCTGTGACCCGAAATGTTTAGGCGTCTCTCCCAAATGCTCAAGGTTATCGCTGAGGATTAGAACTCTTATATCCAGACTCAATGTAGTGTTTTTTTCCTTTATGTTATGATTATACAAAACTTTTTAATTTAATTTATTTGAGAGAGAGAGAGAGAGAAAGCACAGAGGGAGAGGGAGAAGCAGACTTCCCGCTGAGCAGGGAGCCCGACGCGGGGCTCGATCCCGGGACCCCGAGATCATGACCTGAGCTGAAGCCAGATGCTTAACCAACTGAGCCACCCAGGAGCCCCATATATAAAACATTTTTATTAAAAATGTGGGCATTCTAAAGTCTTTCACTGAGATTAGCACTACTGAAAGAGCCAATCACTTCCCTTATTGGTGGTTGATCCGTAACATAGAAGTGCTCTCACAGGGACACAGCTAGACGTTTTACTTCCTCTCAGCCTCACCTCCTGAACCGGGATCAGGAAGGTGGGTTTCGTGATCTCAGATTCAGTGCAGTGTGCCTTCCTTTGTTAAATGCAGGGAGAAAGGATGGAGAACTACTCCCTTGAGTTTTATGTAAGAGAAAGTGAAAAAGATTACCCAACACACTGCCATCTGCAAATGTGACAAATACGAGAAGTGCTTTAATCACTTGAGATTTTGATAAGGATTTTGTTCACCAGCCTCATCAAACTGACCTAGGAGAAGAGATTGTGGTGAAATCATGGGGTGAAGTTCAACATTCACCAGCGGCCTCTCTGGGGTCACCACGGCAACCCTCCCGCTGATGAGGCGCTGGGACTAAGAGGGTTCTCAGCCGGCGGCCGTGGCCAAGCAGATCAATAGCAGCATCAACATTTCAAGTGCTTATTTTATTTGTGTTTTTAAGAAAGATGCTGAATCATAGCAATCACTTAAAACAGATAACTTAATTTTTATGGAAACAATAGGTGCCTTTATGCTTCTGCATTTCAGATAAGCCCCCAGAGAGACCAAATCTACCTGAGCCTGACTGGTTTTTCCTTAAGTCTGAAATTAAAGATTTGCTGATCCTGGAAAAAATTTTATTTTTCCTTCTGGCCATATCCCTTAATCACATTCCTCTTCATTGCAAAGCTAAAAATAATAGGTAAGATGTCACAAGAGATAGTTCTCAAACGGAAGGACGTTCTCCCAGGTACCAATGGGTGTGCGAAGCAGCAGCTCCCACTGAGGTAATTAAATTAATAGGAATGCAAATCCCTTGTCAGTGTTACATCAATTCTGGTCTCTTCCTGCTTACTAAAAAAGTACAGATTATTTCAGCTTCAATGATTTTTCCGATTTTGTGGGTGAATATTAAAAGACATACTTACAGGGCTCCTGTAATATTATCCAATGTGCTATTTCACCTTTGGAAGAGGAAAAGATCTGGTCCCGATTGTTCTTAGATCTCTTTCTCAGCCTGGCCGATGAGGACAGCAGCCTGCAGACCAGGAGCCGGGGGAAGACAGTTGGAAGGTGAAGGTCACCCCTGGAGGTTGCCAGAGAGATGGGTCCAATGTGTTCCAGTTCAGAGGTGAGGTTTGCAAATGAAGTGGGTGCCTGCATTTCAGACCGCTTACCTTCCCGTCCCTGTGGCGTTTGGCCTGGGAAGGCCAATCAGAACAATGCAGTGACACAGGCCAGTGTCCAGTGAGCCCTCACTCTCTTACTTACTTCCTGGCCAGGGCAGTGCCAACACCACAGTGCCGCAGCTGAATAGGGAAGGTCCCCGTTAACTGATCTGCACGCCTTTTCTAAGTTTGCACAGATCTCCCCTCCCCGGCCCCTGCCCGCACAAGAGAAGGAACTGCCTTCCTGCACTCTGTGGGAAGGATTGTACCCTGAGGATTAGAGATGGCTCTGAGGCTGGGGTCCCTAGATGAGCCATCAAAATGTAAATATTTAAGGGGCGCCTGGGTGGCTCAGTCGTTAAGCATCTGCCTTCGGCTCAGGTCATGGTCCCAGGGTCCTGGGATCGAGCCCCGCATCGAGCCCCGCATCGGGCTCCTTTGCTCCATGGGAAGCCTGCTTCTCCCTCTCCCACTCCCCCTGCTTGTGTTCCTGCTCTCACTATCTCTCTGTCAAATAAATAAAATCCTTAAAAAAAATGTAAATATTTAAATATGTTTGCATTTAAAGTATAAAAAAGGGTAACATAAGAAATAAGATGTAAATAAAATAAATGAATGAAATAAAATAAGAATTCATGAATTCATATTGGTAACAATGTGGTGGTTAATAAATAAAATTTAAAATTCTGAATAAAATAAATAAAATAAAAATTCATAGATTTTTGTTGAGTAAAATAAAAATTCAGGAGTTCATACTGGTAATAAATAATTTGGTGGTTACCCAGAAATTTAATGAAGTTAATATCACCAAAAATTGGGCAAACTGACACTGCTTATACAGAAGATCCCAAGTAACCTCAAAGTATCTGCTAGAACTAATAATTAGTGAATTCGGCATGGTCAAGGGATACAACGTCAATATATGCAAATCAATAGTATTTCCATATCTGAGCAATGAACAATTAAAAATTAAAATTAAGAAAATAACATTTATAATGGAAACAAAAGCCTGAATTGGGTGTCTTGATAGGTGTGTTCTAAATCACTAATGTGGTGGTGATTAATGTAGGAAATGTTGGGGTCCAGGAGCAAACAGTCAATTCTTGAGACATCTTCGGTGCAGAAAGGCAGTTTTGTTTTTTTTTTAAAGATTTCATTTATTTGACAGACAGAGACATAGCGAGAGAGGGAACACAAGCAGGGGGAGTGCGAGAGGGAGAAGCAGGCTTCCCGCGGAGCAGGGAGCCCGATGCGGGGCTCGATTCCAGGACCCTGGGACCATGACCTGAGCCGAAGGCAGACGCTTAACGACGGAGCCACCCAGGTGCCCCAGAAAGGCAGTTTTATTAAAGCATGCGGACAGGACTCGTGGGCAGAAAGAGCTGCTCTGGGGCTGTGAGGGGTGACTGATGATATACTTTCAAGTTGGGAAGGGGTTAGGGATAGAACAAGCCTCCAAGGTATTTTGGAAACAAGGTTTCCAGGACCCTGAGGGGGCTAGCTATTGTTAGGAAAAGGCTATTTAATACTGTTTAGTAAACCCGCAGTCTTGAGACTCTTCAGATGTATATCAGGGGCCACATGCTTGGAGGATGATTACTAACCTGTATCTTGGGAGGTAGAGATAAAGAAAGTTTCCAAAGGAATCTCTATTATGTTTAAAGTAGACTCACAGGATCCTGTGGAGTTCGGCTAAGATTACCTTTGGCCCTTAGCAAAGTGTCGACATCGAGGCAGCTGAGCTCCTAGAGGAAGGTCCTTCTGCCTGTTTCGAGGACCTGTCAATGGGGTGTAAGTAGTAAGGAAATTTAATTTTTTCTTTTGCCTTTGTTTCCCACATCAGTGATTACATGATTATATACATTTGTTCAAACTCATGGAAGTGTACACCTACAATGAGTGAAGTTTATTGTTATGTAAATTATGCCCCAATAAAGAGAAAGAGAGAGCACCTCCTGTGTGCCATGTTCTATGCCCTGAGCATATAGTACAGAACAAAGTAAAGGTTTTCCATTGGAGTTAACTTCTATAGACATGGTGATGGTGATGTAGATGACAGTGAATGGATAAATGAGCGAATATGTCAAGTAGTGAGAAGTACTAAGGAGAATAATAATACAGGAAACAGGAAAAAAGGGGTATGGATTTTACATAGAATGGTCAGGAATGGCTTGGCACTGATAAAATGCTGCATGCACATGCCATGTCAATATCAGGAGAAAGAGCAGGCCAGCAGAAGGGAGAGCAGGAACATGCTGGGCAAGGTAGACCAAGGGCAAAGAAGTTGGTGTAGCCAGGAGAGGGAGCAAGGAGGGCAGCGGCAGGGGATTGAGGTGCATGGATCACATAGGGGCTAGAACGCCTTGGAAGAAAGGAACTTTGGATTTTACTCCAACATGGGAAATCATTGGAGGAGTGATGAGGGAACAGAAGGCAAGCTGAGCACAAAGCACAAGCTGACAACCCACAACCTGCCCCGCCCCCAGGTGGAATATGTATGATTCCTCAGGCACTCCTGGCTGCCCTAAAGCTGAGGGAAGGAAAAACAAATGGTTAACTTATAGAGATTAGAGTCCTGCAAGACAGGACTCTCCCTCAGTTTATGAATGTCTTAGTGACTCACAAGAAAGAAGCATTCTTGGGGCGCCTGGGTGGCTCAGTCGGTGAAGCGTCTGCCTTTGGCTCAGGTCATGATCCCAAGGTCCTGGGTTGGAGCTCCGGGTCAGGCGCCTGCTCAGTGGGGAGCCTGCTTCTCCCTCTCCCTCTGCCGCTTCCCTTGCTTGTGCGCTCTCTCTGTCAAATAAATAAAATCTTACCAAAAAAAAGGCATTCTTTTTTTTTTTTTAAGATTCTGTTCATTTACTTGAGAGAGAGATAGAGCACAAGCAGGGGGCGAGGGAGAAGCAGGCTCCCTGCTGAGCAGAGTGCCGGATGCGGCCCGATGCCAGGACCAGGAAATCCTGACCCGAGCCAAAGGCAGATGCCCCCCGCCCCGCCAAGAATATTCTTTTTTCTAATATTTTATTTATTTATTTATTTGAGAGAGAGAATGAGATAGAGACAGTACATGAGGGGGGGGGGTCAGAGGGAGAAGCAGACTCCCCGCCGAGCAGGGAGCCCGATGCAGGACTCGATCCCGGGACTCCAGGATCCTGACCCGAGCCGAAGGCAGTCGCCCAACCAACTGAGCCCCCCAGGCGCCCCCGCCAAGAGTATTCTTAACAATACCTTAACTTCTGGAAGAAAGCTCCCAACTGTCTTAATGTTAATGCCTTGCTAGTGGGGGGGGGGGGGAACAACCTTAACTTGACAATGGCAAGGTCTCCAGCATCTTGTAGGTCCTTTTTAGCGTATGAAAGTTCTTTTGAAAACCTCCCATTTCCTGACCTCCCCCAACTCCCAAGTATAAAATGAGTCACCCCTCACAACCCGGTGTAGCAGCTTTTTCTGCACTCGGTCCTGTCCCCATGCTTTTAGTAAAATCACCTTTTTGCACCAAAGACGTCTCAAGAATCCTTTCTTGGTGGTTGGCTGGGGACCTTGCCCTACCAAACCTCACCTACATTCAGAACTACCTCAAGAGGAGTGCCATGATCTTTCTGTGGCTGTAGGGAAGTAAGGAGGCGCACTTAGGTGTTATGGGTGAGTTGCATCCCCCCAAGATCTGTTTAGGTCCCAACCCCCGGTACCCGTCAGTGCACCCTTACTTGAAAGTAGGGTCTTTGCAGATGACCAGATGAGTCTAAGGTAATCAGAGGGGGCCCTAGTTCAATACGACTGGCGCCCTTGTAAGAGGAACCACCATACGAGGACAGACTCACAGGAAGAACGCCACCTGAGGACACAGCTGCAAGGCAAGGAACGCGAGGGGGTGACGGCCACCACCACAGGGCTGAACTTAGACCTGCGGCCTTCAGAACCGTGAAACCACACGTTTCTGTTCTGTACTGCGCCCGCCCAAGGGGCCCGGCTGTGCTCAGCCAGGGGGCCGCCAGGGGCCCTTCCACCTTCCCCGGCTCTAGCCTGTTCGCCTGCGAGCAGCCTCTGCAAGGCGGGTCCTCGGGAGGCGGCGAGCGGGAGCGGGAAGGCGGGAGGCGTGGACGCCCTCCACGTCTCTGACTTGAGCAGCCGGAACGGCGGCGGCCCCGCTCACCGGGGCGGGGAGCACCGCGGGGCCACCCCGCTGGACGGACCAGCCCGCAGTCCGCGAGCACATCCGGCCCAGGAATCGGCCCGCGCGAAGGTGCTGCTCCAGGCCCTCCACCCGCTTTCCCAGAGTGACGTGCCTGTCAACTGCGCAGCGTTCTGCCCCGTTTTCTATAACGCCCCCAGCCCCAAGCAGGAACAAGGCAAAGACCCCAAACACTAAAGCCCTAAGACGCACCTAGACGCCGGAAGCCGCTTCCCGGCAAAACTCCAGGGGTCGGGCGCTGGGGCCCTGCGGGGTTGGGCACTGAGCTTGTCAATCATCAGAGACCGTATACGACTGACGGAGGCCAGTCTGTGGGTGGGGCGAGGCTAGATTTCGAGGGTCGGCTTCCGGCGGCGGCGCG